CGGGCGGCCCGGCCCGCCATGCCGGGAGGCCGCGCTAAGGCCCAGGTTGCTCCCGGACGTGCGTCGAGCCCGCGCCCTGGGCGGGAGAACCGAGGACACCTGCCGCCCGGCCCAGGGACTGCCCGCGAACCCCGCCTCGGCCGTCGGGGGCCCAACGCTGTTTAAAATTAGAGTCTCGCCCTCCGAGAGCGACGTTCAGTCCAGTCTTTTGTAAGAAAAGAGTTTGGACTAAACTAGAAAATTCAGTCTGGGTGAGATGTTCCAAGGGAGGGTGTAAAACCAAACCCAAACAAAACACACCCGGAACAATAAATTGGCCAACGCGCTAGCGTCAGCCAAGCACAGATCAGCTTCTCAAAGCACATTTCCAAAGCACACTTCTCCGAGAGCGACGTTCAGTCCAGTCTTTTGTAAGAAAAGAGTTTGGACTAAACTAGAAAATTCAGTCTGGGTGAGATGTTCCAAGGGAGGGTGTAAAACCAAACCCAAACAAAACACACCCGGAACAATAAATTGGCCAACGCGCTAGCGTCAGCCAAGCACAGATCAGCTTCTCAAAGCACATTTCCAAAGCACACTTCCAGTAAAACACACTTACGGACTGTCCCTGCATTGCTCTTACCACGATATACGCACCGAGGAAGGACAGGAGGAAAGAGGCGCCTGCCACGGACTCCAGAATTGCCATAAAATTACAAAACAGAACATCTTAGGGTCTATCGAGCTGCAATGCGCACGATAACATTCCCATTTATGCAGGTAAAAGTCCATCACGCCTCCGCTTGCGTGACAGAAAGTGTCCAGACTGGCCCACGCTGTCTTCCCTTAGTCAAATATCCGCACAGCTAAGGTTCGCAGCGCTGCCAAAATCGGCTGAAAGCTAAACCAAATTTGAGGACAGCGACACGCCGATTCTTTCGGTCAGGACTTCAGACTCGTTAGCTCCAAGGTCCGTCACCAGCGACGCTCCCCAAGGTGCAGGGGCAGCGCCGACGCTGCTCCGCTCCCTGGGAAAAAAATAGCACTGACAGGTCTAAATCAAGAATCTCTCTAAGAAATTATGTGATGTAGGAAACTTGATAGAATTCTGTACTAAAAAAAAAAAAAATTATATGTGGAGGTCAAAGTACCAAGTTCATGCATTAACTGTAGCATATTATGAACCAGAAGCAGCAGTGATGAGGGCTCTTAAAAAAATTGGCAAGCGTAAGATGGAATGACTTTTACAAAAAGGAAGGTGCTGAAAGGGTAGGATATTAAGTGAAGATGTAAGATTGCCTACAATAAAATTAATTATCGACTTGGGAACATTGCTGAAGATGGGCTAAATTCATTCCAACCACCAATATCAGCTCGCTCAAGAGTGCCTTCAAACCAGAGAGCATGGTACCATACTGCGGAGTACCGCACCAGCGTGGGCTTACTGAAAGAACAAACCCAGACAGGACTAAATAATGATGCTGAGTGACAGGGATGCTCTGGAGGGACAGAAAAAAAGAGTCAGTAACAAAAGGAAAGTTTGAGTCAACTGGAACTAATTTCCCTGAAGCTCCCTCTCAGTTTGTATCATTTAAATACTAAGTTTTAGCTAAAAGTAGAATTTAATCACTTTCTGGTACGTGCTATTTACCTTGATGATCAAATATGGCATTCTATTTTTATTAGTAAGAAAGGACTGATGGACTTCCATGAGTTCTTTCAATTAATTTTATTGAGTAGCCAAATCTGATAAATTAGCACAGATAAAATAAGCATTTGTATGTGTTACAAATGACTCTTTACAGGAATAAAACAGTGAAAATTACAAACTGTAAAAAGGAGGACAAGTAAATCCTGTCTCAGATTCAGAAGGGGGAAAATTTATAACTTCATATTGAAGATCAAATGTCCGAGTTCAGAAAACAAAGAATATTACAGTATCATACACTACTTTACAAAATTAAATTTACTATAAGGATTACATCCATAATAGTAAACAGAACCTTAAAATCACATTAATGGTCCCTTATATAATAGCCATTCTGCATCTCTGATTAAATTCTGTTAAGAAATTAATTCTAAATAAAAGAAATGTGAATCATTCTAGTTATTGCAAAACGGTCTATGTGGACTCAGACTCAAATATATTAAATTAAAAAAGATAATGAAAGCAAAGTAAAATGGATGGTAACAATGCTGGTTGAACATTAATGTGTCAAATACAGAAAGAGTTAAACAAAATCTTCCACTAGAAAAATAGAGTACATTTGCAGTGGTAGAGTTGTTGTGCTGAGACCTAAGTAATCAGGGCAACTCTGGCCAGTTTTCGCAGTGCATCCTCAGTATCCTCACTTTTCAATTGTTGGTTAAAAAAAGAAAAAAGGACACATCATAGATAGCGTACATGTTCATCTGTCTTGCACTGCCCTTACAGTAACACAAGGTGAACTAGCAGGCTTTTCCCACTGCAAGTGAATAAACTAATAAAGTTCAATACAGAATTTCTTCTAAGGTGAAGAGAAGCGTTCTACTCCAAGAGGGTTCATCTGATTCTTGTTTAGGTTTTGCTCCGAAAACCTCAGGGACTCTAATTCAAAGCTGTTAATTGCCACACAGACCAACCACCGTAGCCATTAGCCTGGTGAACATAAAGCAATGAGCCACCTCCAACTTTCTTCAAAAATAATTTAAGGAGTTTAATGGTAAAATATAGTCATAGGATAAAACAAACTTTGGTGGGCTGCTAGACACAAGAATTGTTTCCAAAATCTAAGTGATAATATGCCTCAAAACAGTAGTTTTAAGTAATAACTTATGCAAGTGCATAGTTTTCCTTTGTGATTTAGATGAAAAGACCCTTTCCACTGGAAAAGGTTACTCAGACTGCCAAACTTAAAACCTCTTCACTTCAACTAGAAAGTATGCAATTCTCTGAAAAGCTGTCCAAGTAAATATACTCCCATTTGTTATGGGGACAGCAGCCAGGGAGCTTAAGCTGGTTCTAGAATAGTCTTTTCATACTGTTTTAGACATTGCTCTGAACTCCAGCATCTTGTGCTCAAGCGGCAAGAGCAGTTTCTCCAAAGACACTTCTCCCCTGAAGTAAGGCAACTCCTGACAATCAAGTATAGCTAGAGCCCTAAGTGGTAGCAAATGACGACACTGTCAGGTCCTGTGACATTCATATCACAAAACCCATGCAAGTTACCTAGCCTAATCACAGTACATACTTGTCCACTTGTAAGTATTTTGCCTGTTCAAGTTACTTGTCCCAAGAAGTAGATTTTGCAAGACCTATAGTTAAGTTCATCGCCATTAAACTAAAAGCAAAACATGATTTTCCATATAAAGCTCTTCCACGGGCATACAGACGCAATAACTTAAACTAAATACTCTTTATGTTGCTAGCTATCAATGATAGCTTAATCTCCAAAATACAACAGTTATAATACACTTTATAAAACGCTCTAAATATTTTCGTAGAAAAATCTTCACTTAAGCCCAATGTCAACTTCTGTCGGTAGCACTGGCAGGGATCTGAGAGTACACTTAAAGCTTTTAGTGCACACTGGCTTTGGACCTAGGCTCATTACATAGCTGCAGAAAAAAAGGATTTTGGAGAACTTAATGCGTGTCTCAAACCATAAACAATTCTCCAAATACAATATAACATTTTTGTCTTTGGAAAAATAATTTATTTTCCAATTTTTAGTGTCAGAATATTCAACGTTGTTTCAAAACATTAAGTGCCATCATACAAACTCATTTCGCAAACGCACTAAATTTTAGGGGCCTAACGCTCAGTTAATGTAAACAAGAGCTGAAAGTCTACTAAACAAAGTAAAAAATCTGGGACGACCTTCCTTGCCCTTGCCCTCCCACATCACTTACAAACTGAAATTAAAACTCTGTTCATTTTACTGAGCAAAAATAAAGCTTGCCATCCACCTCAACCTACTTTTGCTGCTGACTCAGCCGCTAACTTTTTCAATATATCCCACACAGGGCCTGCTCCTCCCCACTCCCATTTTCAGTTACAATACTGATGTATTTAAAAACTTCAACAAATTCAGCTACCTTGTCTGGTTCAAGCTTACCTTTAGTCCTATTAGTCACAATCCCATTCCAAACCCTGGATTTTAAGTTTCATAACGTATTTGTTCATTTCACAATGAACAGTTGTTTCATTGCTACTTTAAGCATTTTAAGTTGAACATCAGGATGCTCTGACTCTAATCACTGGATGCACTATATAAAAAATTTCCCTGCAAATCATAATCAG